GCTGAAGGATGTTTATATAAACAGTTCTCTTTATTGGCAGAGAAAACAGTTCTCTCTCACCAGTCTCAATTCATATAGTTGGAAATATATTTTTCTAAGTAGATATGTTTTATTCAAAATCCAAGGAATCTGAGAACAGTAGTATTTAACAGAAAAATCAATAATTGATTGATTTTTTAAAAATATTTGTATGTATCTTTCAATAATTGAAAGTTATGCATACATGGAAAAAAATAGAGTAGGTTGATATGTTGATAGAATCTGGTCTAAAGATGGAAAAATGGTGAACATTTTAAAACATGATAATTCTAATAAATGTAATGTGTCATCTATTTTGAGTAGTGATTATTTGTCAAAATAAAACAGTTACATATAAAATATTTTGACTCTATTTATGTGGAAGTGAGAGTTTGGTAGGTAAAAAGAAACTGAATGTTGAATACAAGAGTAAGAAGTATGTTAAAACTTTAAAAGATAATAAAGAATAATTAGTAAAAAAGAAATATACTGAGGCAGTCTGTGATATAAAGAATATGATTAAGGATTTAATTACAGAACAAAAATATGGAAGAAGATTGATGGGAAAGAGAAGGCCAAAAAAATCATGGTTGCATGATACAGGTAGCCTTCAACTTACAGCCGCAATAGAGCTTAAAATTTCCATTGCTAAGCAAGACAGTTAAGTGAGTTTTGCCCCATTTTACATTATTTTTGGCCACAGTTGTGAAGTGATCTAGCTTCCATATTGACATGTCAGAAGATCATAAAAGGTTATCACATGACCTGGGGACATGTTCATAAATATGAACCAGTTGCAAAATGTCTGAATTTTGATCACATGACGATGAGGATGCTACAACGGTCCTATGTGTGAAAAACGGTAATGAGTCAATTTTCCCAGTACCATTGTAACTTTGAATATTCATTCAATATTCATTTAGTTACAACCATTCATTTGTAACTACTGTAAATGAATGGTTGTAAGTCAAGGACTACTTGTACTCAAGAGAGATGTTAAGTTGAAAGAACAAAAGGCAATGTATGAAGTGATATATGGAAATGTAGAAGCAAGAATGATTGCAAGGAATTGTATGGATTGAATAAATACAGTGACTGATTTTGATGGAAACTAGATTTAACTAACTTTTTTTCTTATATCATGCATTTTGGCTTTTTATTTTTTATTCATGTTCTGCGCTTATTTGCTTAGTTTGAAGCTGAAGAGTGTTTGCTTGTTTGATTGATTGACTGATTGATTGATTTATAGAGCCACTCATCTCAGCAGTGTAATGGGTATGTAAGTTTGTACAAGTTATTATTATCTTTCTATTCTAAATAATTATGTCATGAAATACAGCTTCAACCATAATTTAGTTTCTTTCCTTTTTTTGGTTCAACTATTTATATTGCAAATGCAAAACAAAACAAAAAAAATCCACTACAACATTTGAGAAAGATTTCTGGACACAACCAAACCATCATAACAGATAGCAGCATAATAATAGTTTACATTTAAGTATAGAAATGTTTTTATTTCACATATCATTTTGCCAAGTATAGTGGGACGTGATTGCTACTTACAACAGCAGAGCAGGAGATTATATCTGCCTTAAATCTTGTTTTTAGTTCTTGTAATATAATTTTGTATACTATATATTATTAATACTTTTATATAGGGTTAGGATGCATTTCTTCATTTCTGCAGATATATATATATATATTTTTGAAACAAATTTTATTAATTTTTAAAGACAAACAAAACATAAACCTTGTAGACATTAAACCTCTTTCCCTTGTAAATTTTTACAAGGCAGATAATACATTATTTTATACAGTGTGATTTTAATATATCCCATTTCTACTAAAATATCTTTTAACACTCTCATTTCTTCTCTTTAAATTTAGTCATCCTATTCATATTTCCCTCTGTCTTGTTTGCCATTATTCTCCTCCCGCTTTCCTCCAAGGTTTTATTAAATCTCAGATAAACATACACACACAAAACACATAAAGTAAAACTTCTTTTTCAAAAAAGTAGCTTGGCCCCGGATTACCTCTCTTTGTATGGACTTCAATTAAATTCATATTCATCTTATATGCCATTACCTCTCTTAATTACCATTCTGTGTCTTCTTTATAACTTCTCCCCGCTTTCCACTCTTCTTAATTCTATTTTGTTTATTGTCTTAATTTAAATCATTATATTTCTATCCTTTGTCCATTCTTTTCCAATTGTCTATTTATCTCATTCCCCATAATAAAATAAAAGAATTTCTCCTGAAATCACAAATCAAAGTATGATGCCTTTCCATCGCACCTCTAAATTAACATTTAAGGTAACACCAAGTTCCCTATCTGATTCTGCTTAGTACATACTACTTACAAAAAGAAAATAGTAAATCCATAACATAATTAAATATATAATTAAACATTAAATCTCATAACATTCCAATTATCTATTTCAAAAACAAATATTACAATAATATATTCATACTAACGTCCACACAATAGTCAATTAAAATCTATATTTAAACTAAATATTTTAAACCTTCCTTTTAATATTTTATTAAATCTTAAATTCTACCATTATTAAACCTTTAATATTTTAGTCTTTACTCAAGTCTTATAAAATTATAATTTTCTATTTCTAATACAAATACTACAATACTATCTTATGTACCTTGCAGAATCCTTTTAAAATAAAGTTATATTATCCTTTGTCCCTGAAAAACAATTTCTTTTTCACATCTTGTTTCATACCCTTGTGGCCTTTCCCCCCCTTCTTCCCTGTCTTATCCCATCTGGTCTTTTTACCCCCCTTAACTTCCCCTCTCTGTTGTATTTCTCTTTCCTTTTGCTTTCTAGCCTTGTATTGATTTTGCATCTTATTTTTCACTTTCTTAGATATTTTTTTTAAGTCTTATATCCTTTTCCCCCCCTCTCTTTCTCCTTCCTTTCTTAATCAACTCTGTGGGTTCGTTAAAGATGGCTTCTTCTTCTTCTTCTTCTTCTTCTTCTTCTTCTTCTTCTTCTTCT